AAAAAAAAAAAAAAAAAGAAACTGATAATTTTGAAGAAAACAACCTATTGAAAGACGTTAAATTTTCGCAATAGACTGAATTTGAACAACGTTATAGTTCAAAACGTACATAGTAGGTGTACCTATAGTTGGTGTAGTGGACACCAGAATTTCAAGATAATAATATTGTTGCTATGCTTACTAAATAATTAAATTAATAAATAAGGAAATTTAATTATTTTTCCATCACAATACATAATGATGTAGATCTTAATATTAATCTTATAATATTGACATAAGCTTGTTTCTTCTCTTCACTTCACTTTGGTTCTACATAGGGTTAATGCAGTTTACCTGACAATGCAATGATGAAAGTCAGGAACCCAAACTAAGATAACCCGTGTTTTGGGCTTCTGTTTATTTTTAATACTATTTTTAAAATGTATTTAATTTTAGAAGTATTTTTATTTGACAAAAATGATTGAAAACAATACCATAACCATAAGTAGCTATTATATCTAATAATGGTTTAGTGGCTTACATCTTGGGGAAATTATAAACGTAATTTGATTATTGCTTAAGTTTTTACTATTTTTTATAGTACTATAAAGTACTCGTGAGATATTGATGTTATTGACAATGTCATATGTCTTGTTTAAGTGCAACAATGTTCAATGATTAAACAGTGTTGTTTGTCAACACAACTCCTTCTTTGAACGTCTACTAGTATAATTAGCGAGGATGACGCTACCTATACAATTAAATAGATCGGACTAACTTACCTGTGACGTCCGATCCTCAATTGTGTAGGTAGCGTCATCCTCGCTAGGTCCCAACCCTTCCCGGATAATAAACATGTTTATTTTTACCCCTGGTCGAGTTGTGTTGCAGTTGCAGGTATGCTTTGAAGTAAATGATGTTGCCAGTGAGATGACCATAGAGTATAAATATTTTTTTGATGAATGTGTTCATCTTTAAATATTGTGACAGCGTGCCCAGATTAGTGCCTACTACTAGTATAATTAGCGAGGATGACGCTACCTACACAATTGAGGATCGGACGTCACAGGTAAGTTAGTCCGATCTATTTAATTATACCCATGAATGAGATACTTCATTTTGCTTTCATACAAAACTAACTTCTGCCAGTGGCTTCGCTCGTGTTTCATGGGATAAAAGTGGCCTATGTATTATTCCTATCGCTGTTTCAAATTACATCCTGATCCCTTTAGGCGTTTTGCCGTGACTGAGTAACAAACATACTCACAAATTTTTACATTAATCAGAAGATATAAAATAAGGAGAACCGCAGAAGATTTACAAGTGCGTTGCCGAGCTCTCGGAAGGGTAGGGAATCCACTACCCTGGTACAGCAGATTCATAATCTTGACTTATTCATATAAAAGTCATATATAAAATCTGCAAGAAGAGTCACAGATTATGTCATCTTTAATTTTAGTAAACAATAATAAGAAAACCACAAATTAATATGATAATCCGTCAGGAAACCACAAAGTACAATGATTATTAGAAAATAAATAAATATGTATACACTTAATAAATATTATACTTATTGCGAGTGGCTCATCTTCATTTCGCCTGGCTACTATTTTCCACTGTCCATGGTAAATACTTAATAATATTATTTTGTTAAGGGGCCTACTGAATTATCGAATTTTTCGTTCATACAAACTCTGTCGAAATCATTAAGGTTCTAAACATAACAAACGACAAAAAACATATTAAAGCTATACCTACATACATGTTACTTATTCATTTTTATATAATTTATTTTCCTTATTCCAAAAAAATATATTACGACAGAATTGTGAAACATTGTAACTATTTACTTATTTATTTCCTTGTACAGTACATACATTAGTCACATCTTATCTACATTGATGTATAAATGCCATTCTTATCAGATATTAGATATTGAAACCATGTAGATTGTAAACAAATATCATTGTTTATGTCACTATTTATAGTCTGTTACTGGGATGGTTGTTAAATTAATTTATTACTTAAATAAAAAAATATTTTAGCACACCCTGGCTGTATATGGTTGCTATTCGCTAACTTTTAAGGCATTTATTTAAAAAATTCACACAAGGACACTTATCAAAATTTAACTCGTTGAGTATGATGGTACTCAACGAGTTATAGACACAATTATAGAACAATAGGTTGCGCTTACTGGTGACCGCTCGGTATTTGACAGTTTAAATCAATTGTCTGTCAGTCTGTCTGTTCAGAAATGAGAGAGTTGGTTATTTCAAAATGGATGGCTATTTTTTTTACTATTTATTTATTTCAATTTCAGGCATGATCGTCCCACTGCAGGGTAAAGGCCTCCATACCCATTTTTTACTAACATAAATATTCAAAAAAGTCATATTTGTACATTTAAGTATTCTGTGCAGTTTTTAGAAGTTATCTTGAATCTGTAAATAATACAATTATCACTTTTGTGATTTCGCAATAGGTAAGTTTCAATAAGAATCACATTTTTATTAATTGGGAAATACCCTATTATGAATATTTTCACAAAAACGTGACTGTAGTAAATAATTATTATGTAAAACCAAGTTTATTTTATAAATATGCTATTTATTTAGGTACACATGTAAATTACCACAAAGATAATGCAATATTTAAACATGAGTCACATTATATTAATTGTGCAATACCTACCTACTTCTGACATAAATGTCCACTCAAAAAAATCGCCAATTGTCATATTCATATTAACTCGTCGAGTACCGGTTTTGTAGACACAATTATAGAACAATAGGTTGCGGTCACCGGTGACCGCTTGGTGTTTGACAGTTTAATAACACTATTCTAGAAGTGTCAATAAACTTTCACATGGGATTCCTAACATATTAATTGGTTGGTACATTGTATACTGTGCACCTCCGTCTACCCCTTTGTTTGAAGAACAAATGGTATGAATGATATTTAGGAAAATTTACTTTTATTTCAAGATGGAAATTACTTTGAAAGGTCAAAATAAAATATGAAGAAATATTTACACTTTTGTATAGTTATTCATGAAGTAAAAGTGATGTTACAGTACCCACATAGACTTTAAAATAATCTAAATTAAAATGTAGGCAATTTAAACACAAAATCTACTTTAGTAGTTAATTAATAGTTTAACTTAAAATTGTAGCTTTAAACTGTCAAACACCAAGCGGTCACCGGTGACCGCAACCTATTGTTCTATAATTGTGTCTACAAAACCGGTACTCGACGAGTTAAGCACGAAACTAAAGTGCAAAAATGAACTCATCAATGACTAATTAGCATTAAAACTGGAGCGAATTGCCTTTCTTTTCTGCAATAATTACAATCTCATTCACATATCCTTCATTATAATAATTTCAAGGTCTTCATCAAACAATACGAAAATAACGCGCGAAAATGAAACCACAGAAAAAGCAGAAAAACCGCGGACATATTTCTTTATTGGGTATTTTTTAAATATATTTTTTAATTATAATTTAGTTATGCAAAGGTACTCACGCAAACAGCTGTTATTGTTACGCCCAAGGTCACTTTTGTACTAGCTTGTTGCCAACGCCACTTCTAAAGCTATTGTGAGTCAACAAACACCACAAACAGACAGAGGAACACTGCCAAATTATTTACAGTGACGTAAAAATTACGATTTTGATACAACTGAATAAATATTATTGTACAACTCTTCGCTTCGGTGTATCGACGGACTTCGCGCACGAAACGAAACGTCACTAGCACGATAACATATTGATGTTAATAAAGAGAATTGTTTTATAATGCCGTTGTTTTAATACCGATAAGATTATTTCGTTATGGTTGCGAAAATTTCGTCATGAATTTCATTGCACTGGACATTTTGACGTTTTACTACAACCACAATAGAAATGTAGGTACCTATTATAAAATGTCTCATTTGTTTTAGTTTTATGGCAAGACCGAGAGGCGTTCTGAAACAATATTGGAAACTTTTTAATTCATAAGTCATTGTGTCATTCATTTTATAAAGTTTTACAGTTAGTCTCTGTATATTTTCAAACTATTAACGGCTTAAAAAATAGTTTCATTTTTATTATTACGAGTGCAATGTCACACTAACAACAAGGTACAACTTACAGTAAAATAATACATTCTCATTAAGTTGGATGAATATAAGAAGCATGTTTCGGAACGTGAAAAATAATAGATTTCATTATAATTACGTTTTAAAACCCACAAAAATATTTTTTACAACGTACACGTTGATTAGACTTTATTGAAACGTAGAAATACATCTTTATTTTTTGAAATGGTTCGAAAAGAAAGGCAAAAGTAAAAATGTCCTGAAATTCATTTAATCTGTAATGTAAAACTGTCAATGTCACTGTCGAATTTTATTCAAATCAATATTAGATTGGCGGGAACGCTAGTGGACTGTGGAATTGACTTTGTTTGACTTATTAGGTTATGATAAGATAAGATCATTTTCGAAAAATAAATAAAACAAAAAATGTCTATACAAGTGGAAAATAATTTAAATGCTGAAGAACATAAGGATAAATTTGAGCAGACATCGCATTACATACCTTGTAAAATAGACTCAGACGGCCCGGCAAACGTAGAAAAATATTTTGTTCCGTACATTGTTGAAAAGGATGGAGGTTCGTAAATATGCATAATTTTTTCATAAACAAGGGTGTTTTGGCGAATTATGGAGGAGGTGTACGTTCTATAATGGATATGGATATGGACTCTATAAGTTAATATCCTGATGATAGGAACGTAAATCCGGTTTTTTTTTAGAATAGGTAAAGAGTTGGTCGATCACCTGATGGATCTATTAGCGCCGCTTAACCACTTTTGTCCAGCCAGCAGTGGACTTCTTTCGGCTGTTGGTGTTGATGATGATAATGATAGACTCCCGCAATACCTGAAAAATTACAAATGTAAAGTGTGTTGCCGGCCTTTTTTCTATACCTACCACGTCGGCGGCAAAAACGCACACGGGCCTTTGAATGGGTCATGGCATGGCAAAACTTAAAAGTTTTGATTGTTTCGCTGGTGTACTGTGACGCTCTGGACTCGAGTCGAGTCGCCTCATTCCCGCCGAAGGCGTCGGTTTTTTGCGGGGGAAAAATCATACAATGACTTCTCCCTCCCGGGTGAGGCGAGGAAGTGTCAGACTGTTACTGACTAAAAACCACCCCTTTCTTACTCCTACTCTCCGAGCCGGAGCCCCGGTAACCCGTTAAGTCCTCCGTGGCTCTGTATCAGCATCACCCCTATTGTGAGCCCCATCTGTGGTGGTCTGATGGCTCTTTGAGGCGCGCGCGGAACGCGACGCGCCGTACGCTCGGGTAGCATGGCTCTCCAAAGCGTAAACCTATATACATTTTAGAATACTGACATGTAAAAGAGCTATTTTGTAACATATAACATTCAATTTCTTCAACTATTTTACGCTTGGTACAGAATTATCAGCGTCATTCCGAGGACATTCATTAGATGGTAAGAAGATGACACTACCGGAGGGTTACAGAGCTGTAACAGTCACTGAAACTAAAAGGCCACTAGCGGAAGATGCTGAGAGGAAGTTTCAGGTGAGTTGCATTTTACCAGCTTCAAAATAGAAAGAGGTTTAATTCCGTATTCTTTTTTTAAATAACAATGGCCCTGAACCAAGCGCCTGGCTACAAAATGATAAAAAAAAATTCATAACATTACTCCTTTTACCCACTCACTTTTTGTAAGAGGTAGCCCAGCCCAGAGTGAACCCACCCCTTTCCAGAGGTGCACATACTGCCACGGCACTTAATGCCACTGGAACTCATAACATAAATAGTCAACAGTATAACAGTCGCCGCGTCGCGGTTCGCGAAATGCTGCGCATGAATATGAGCCTCTAGCATGGCTTGAAACTAGTAGAGTTCCTCTTCGAATCACTACGTGAGTAAGCCGAAAACATAATAATTTATAAATAGTCTTAACTAAAAATCGCGGGTTACTCACGTGAATATACTGAGAAAAGGTCTACTAGTTTTCGTGCGCGGTTGCGGCGATGGTAGCCGCGACCGCGCTCGCTGCTCATGAGGAAGAACCCCTCTGTGGTTCGAAATAGTTTGCTTTTCTCGGCATATTCACGTGAGTAACCCGCGATTTTTAGTTAATTTAGTATGTCTCACGATAGTTATTATAAAAATAAATAGTCTTTCTTCTTTCTTTTAAAAAGAAAGATAAATTGTGAAAATTGGGTGTTGGGTTCCATTACCGGGTCAAGCAACTTACTACTTGGTTATTAAATAATTCTCAGCAGTAGCATGAAGTCTGTAATTGTGTAATTATTACATTTCATAACATAAATAATATTTAATAATATAAATAATATTTATGTTATGAATTCCATGTTATTAAATAATGAAAAGTGGGTGTTACATTGTACAGTTGCATTAAGTGCCATAATGTGCACGTCTGCGTACCCCTTTGGGGATAAAAGGCGTGATGTTATGAATAGGATATAAAATGAACAGATGAAATATGTTTTCATCCATATACTGAACATAATTCCATATTATTTTTTTTTATGGCATAAGCCGGTAAACGATCTGACGGATGGTAAGCAATCGGCGTCGCCCATGGACACCTGGAACACTAAAAGCGTTACAAGTGCGTTACCGGCCTTTTGGGGATTAGGAGTTTGAGGATTGTCGGGGATTCTGAGATATTGTAGAGAATGCCATATGGCATTAAGTTTGCCTTATGTACCATAAACAAATTATGTACATTAAAGAATAAATAAATAAATAAATATTGGGGAAGGGGGAGGGTAGGCCCATTCGTGCCTAAGCATGGCTCTCCCACACTTGAAAACTGATTCAATACTGTTTCTGACTTGATTTCATGATTCATTTCAGGTGACCGGTGGTTTCAAAGAGTTCACATATTGGAATTGGGACCAGAAACCTACAAAAAATGATAGAATGGAGAGAGCATTTGACTGGATTGATATAAGTGATGCTGTAAGTATTGTCTTATATAACTAGGGACCCGTCCCGGCTTCGCACGGGTGCAATATGTATGTATTATACATATAAACCTTCCAAGAATCACTCTATCTATTAAAAAAACCGCATCAAAATCCGTTATGTAGTTTTAAAGATCTAAGCATACCTAGGGACAGACAGACGGCGGATAGCGACTTTGTTTTATACTATGTAGTGATTTATTTATTTATTTAAACAAACAGAACAGTACAAACAACTAATGACACAGTGTAATTTACACTACTGTGTAGTGATACTAGTTACTTCCGCGCGGTTTCACCCGCTCTGCTCAGCACCTGTTGATTGCTGCGTGATGTTTTATAGCCTACAGTCTTCTTCGATAAATGCGCTATCCAACACAAAAATAATTATTCAAATCAGACTTGTAGTTACGGAGATTAGCATGTTCAAACACTCTTGAGCTTTACATATTAATATATTGATTAGACCTGGGGGCTTACTCTTGAATCTAATTCCGATCGATCGACATTGATATTGTGTCGCACTCTCGAGTTGCAACACTAGCGCCCATTGCATCCGTATTGCGTGGATATTGAATGAACTAAATGGTATTGAGTTTGTCTTTATATTCCGTACTCTGAATGCTATTGTAACAGCTACGATTGTGGTTGTATAGTGTTGACATTGAATAATTATTGAGATTTTATTGGATTGTAATTGCATTGACATTGAGATTGGTTTCAAGAGTAAGCACCCTAGTCTAGTTGAAAGAAATGATTGTGACTTGCTTTACTTTGACCGCACATCGCCATCGCTACCAACAGGCGAGATAGTGGACATACATCGACCCATTAAATATAAAATTTCTCAAATTTCAAATTTCTCAAAAATCTTTATTTTCTCAAAAATACTCTACGGATACAAATTATATAATATGTTACAATTAAGAGACTGGTGTCTGTTAAGGGTATAACCTGTGTTACAGATCACCAGGCCCGGGTGACCCCCGGAGACATTGAACAATATAAAGTATTTACTTAATTAAAGAAAATGGACAACATTGTATGAGTGTGTGTGTGTGTGTGTGACTGTGGGTGTGTAAAAATAAATCATAAATCTCTTTTCTATTCTTTCAGATACATGGAGACTGATTTTAGGTGCTATCATACCTGGTATTCCTTCAAGATAGCTATGAGTGTACCTATAACTTAACTAAAAACTGCGGGCTACTCACGTGAATATACTGAGAAAAGCTCGAACCACAGAGCCACAGATTCGAACCACAGACCGCGACGTCGCCGCGATTGCGCACGCTGCTCATGAGGAAGAACCCCTCTTTGGTTCGAAACTAGTAGAGCTTTTCTCAGTATGTTCACGTGAGTAACCTGCAGTTTTTAGTTAATTTAGTATGTTTCACGATAGTTATTATAAAAACATGTATCTATGTTTTTTATGGAATAGGAGACAAACGAGCAGACGGATCACCTGGTGGTAAGCAATCAGCGCCGCCCATGGACACTTGGAACACTAAACCCAATGTAATAGAATGTGATTTCAAGTCATTTAGTTGTAAGTTGTTTTTTTTTTAATAACTATCGTGAGATTTACTGAATTAACTAAAAGTAATGGTTTACGCACGTTGTACTGAGAAAAGGTCTATTACTAGTCCTACTGACGTCTTCGCGTCCAAGCACGCGGCTCATGAAGTAGTCTCTCTGTGACTCGAAACTAGTAGAGCTTTTCTCAGTATATTTACGTAGGTATGTAACTCGTTATTTTTTTAGTTAATTTATTTAAGACCGATTTTTCCAACGCCATATAAATTTGAACTGAGGCATAACTGAGCATATTTGACAATTGTTCTATACTGACAACTGTCGAATATCAATTTTATTCTATAGTTAAGAAATTAACTGCGAATTTAAAAATCGGCCCCTAGTTGTTACTGTACTGCAGTCAAGAATCAAACCTGCAGCTGTAGCCAAATGCCATTTAGCGCTTGTCTACATGTAGAAAGGAAAACCAAATTATATGGAATTGACGTAAATTCTGACACTTCTCAGTGTCATCCCCATACATTTAGTTTTCTATTCTCTCTGTGGACAGGCGCTAAAGTGGCGTTTGGCTAAAGGCACTGACTTGAGACTGCTGCTAATCAATTTGTAAGTTATATATAACTAGCGACCCGCCCCGGCTTCGCACGGGTGCAATATGCATGTATTATACATACAAACCTTCCTTAAGAATCACTCTATCTATTAAAAAAAACCGCATCAAAATCCGTTGCGTAGTTTTAAAGATCTAAGCATACATACGGACATACAGCGAAAGCGACTTTGTTTTATACTATGTATTGATACTACCTAGGTCATTTTTGTAAACTATAGATAAGGTATTAAAAATAAAACAACAGATATACAAACAAAACTTGTTTATTTTAATTTATTCAAGAAAAATCAACACAATTTTTACTATCTACTTATTATTTTATGGTAACACACTACTCAGTGCCTATGTTAAGTAGCGTGTTGTTATATAGCCAATAATGTACATAGAGAGTGACCTGGCAAGCCCCTCATGCACGGGCCTGCGGACGGCGAGCATGGGTGACTCGCCACCCGACCAGGGGGCTTACTCTTGAATCCAATCCCGATCGATCGACATTGACATTGTGAAATTTCGTACTCTTGAGTTACAACACTAGCGCCCATTGCATCCGTATTGCGCGGATATTGAATGAACTAAATGGTATTGAGTTTGTCTTTATATTCCGTACTCTGAATGCTATTGTAACAGCTACGATTGTGGTTGGATAGTGTTGACATTGAATAATTATTGAGATTTTATTGGATTGAAATTGCATTGACATTGAGATTGGTTTCAAGAGTAAGCACCCAGAACCAGACTCGAGCTTACGAAGCGTCACGTTCCGCGCGCGATACAAAGAGCCATCAGATCACCACAGATGGGGCCCAATAGAGCTGATACCGTTGCCGGGGCTCCGGCTCGAAGTGCAGGAGTAGGAACGGGGTGGTTTATAGTCTGTAAGAGCCTGACACCCCCTCCCGCCTCACCCAGGCGGGAGAAGTCATTTGGTGATTCCCCCATTAAAAACAAAACAAAGCCTAGGTAGGACCTCATAGGCGCCTCTAATTTAATTTCGTAACGCTGGGTAGTTGGGCTCACGCATCTCGCGGCGCCCCTCTGTAACCAGCAGCTGTAGCCAAATGCAATTTAGCGCATGTCTACTTGTAGAATAGAAAACCAAATTATATGGAATTGACGTAAATTTAAAAAACAAAAGCTTAAGCTTGTTTTTGCACTTGAAATTAGCATGGATAACAGTACCTTTAGGAATAATACGGCTCTGAATCTAACCTATTATAATAATGAATATAGACTTTATTAACATATCTGATATACCTCAAAGGGGGTAGACAGAGGTGGAAATATTGCACACCCCATAATTGCCATATTTATCAGTCATTTGCCACCACCTAAGGTGGTCATAACATAATTAAACTAAAAATCTCTTCTATTAATAAAGAAAAACATAATTCTTTCACAAACAACAATAAAAAAACCGACTTCAACCCCCTCTTTTGTTTGAAGTCAATTAATTGATATAACTAACTCATCAACAGCCTATAAATGCCCACTGCTGAACAAAGCCTCTTCTCACACGGACAAGGTTTGAGCATCAATCACCACGCTTGCTCAATGCGGGTTGGCGATAACAAACTTGTAATTCCAAATTATAAGCTCAGGTTTCCTCACGAGGTTTTCCTTCACCGTTTGTCAGTGGTGTCTAGATAATCTTAGAAAGTAAGGCCCAGAGGTTTAACACTTCTTATGCATGAGGATGTGGGTTCGAAACCTACCAACAGCAAGTACCAATGTTACTTTTTCAGAGTTAGTATGTAGGTACTCTCTAAGATTATCTAGACACCACTGACAAACGGTGAAGGAAAACATCGTGAGGAAACCTAAGCTTATAATATCTAATCATAAGTTTAAGTTTGGTTTGGTCAGCAGTGGCCACTTATAGGCTGTTGACAGCTGCATTTATTGGACAAAAAACGTCTTCATACATATGCGCCAATTGGTGAGCAATAATACATTAGCCCCATTTCAGATTCAGTGCTATAACTGAGACATTGGCAATTATTATTTTATTTAGAAGCTTGCAATCTTTCTCTCATTCTTTTTTTAATCTCCATTCGTTTCATATATTCTCTTTTACTTATCATTATTGCTCTAGTGAACCCTTTCTTTATGTTATTTTTCTTAACTTTTTTACTATTATTCTTATTATCTACACTTTTGGGAACAATTTCACTATTTTCGGGAACATTTTCATTATTTTTGGGATCATTTTCGTTATTTTTATCGTTAACTATCATGTTATGCATACCAAAATCGAATCTATTCTCCAAATCTTTGAAGTCTTTGACGTTTTCCCTGTCCATCTTGTTGAAAATTTTCAGAAATTGCCAAAATTCTATATCGCCGCCTTTAATGTTGGTTTTGTAAAAATCTATTAACGCTTTGTCGCATTTGTGCTTACGAGTCACCGGGTTCGGATCAGCGAAACGATTGGTAGAACTTATAGTTGCGTCATTCAATCTTTTACCCGCGTCATTCGAACTTTCACTTGCGTCATTCAAATTTTTACCGCGCGCCATTTTTTTACTAGCTTTCACGATGCGATTTTTCCATATCTTTGGTTTGTATTTTTTGGGATTTTCTTCGTGTTTTCTTAAATGTAATTTTAAGGCTGCGATTGATAGACAAATTTTTTCACAACCGTCGCAGGGGTACAGCATTCTTAGCTTGCGTTGTTTTGCTATAATACTTAGACCCCGTAACCGTTCAATATAAGTATCTCCAATGGACTTTAAGCTTTGATATTCCTCTTTAAAAAAATTCGGTAATAAATAATCATGATTTACTTCCACAGCCTCCTTTTTGACCATCCAATTTTCGCCCTTTTTGACCAATTTCGTTGTAGCGAGGAGTTGATTTTTGGTTTTACGATTTTTCTCGTCGATTTTCAATGAGGCCAGTTTATTTAAATTGCTTATACTGGGTATGATTTCTAGATCGCAACCTTCGTCAATCTGAAAGACGTATTTCGAGCCGTTTTCAGTAGACCTTTCTTTGATGCAAGATGGGAAGTAAGGGATCCTAATTTTAACTTTATGTACTAGTCTGATGTGTCTAGAGAGTTTCAAATTCGTGACGTAGCCACAAAACGGACATTTTTTTATAGTTTTCTCGTTGCATATATCGAAATGTTCCGTGCAGTGATGTTGTAGGTCTGTTTTCGTTTTGAAGAGCTGTAAATATGAAAGAAATTTATTAGTTTATCTTACGTTCAAATACTGAAATGCTATTCAACAAGGACTTTGAAATAAAGGCGGGAACAGTCTCTTGAAACAACGACTGTGGCACCTAGCTACTATACACTTACACGCAGAATACACACATATCGACACGAAGGACATCTGTCGCGTGACATGGCCCGTCGTTACACTTCATACTTTACTCCTATTTTTTATATTTTTAAATATGTTTTTTTTATTTTGTAAGTAGTATTTAAAAATGTAATTTGTAGAGAATTTTAAATAAATGTATGTGTATAATAATAAAGCCCATTTATTTCCAACAACCTTAAAAAACATTTTCTGTTATAAGATAAATAACTATAACTATTATAGAGGTATTATCCCTAGACGGACATATACCGACCAAATTGGCGATACATCAAAGAAGGGCCAAATTAAAGTACACTTAACCGACGAGCATGCATGAAAAGATTGATGACTGTTGATGAAGCTGAAGAGGTATGTAGGAATCGTAGCAATTGGCGTTCCATACTCTCTGCCTATCCCCATGGGAGACAGGCGTGAAGTTATGTATGTATATATTATATTATTGGAACCCCATGGTGGGTAAAGGCCTCCTCTAGCTTGCTCCACAATTTTGTAAATGACATTACGTCCGCCTTTTTTCCAACGTCCTTATTTTTTTTATAGCATAAGCCGGTAAACAACCAGACGGATCACCTCATGGTAAGCAATCGGCGCCGCCCATGGACAGTCAAAACACCAAGGCGTTATCGGCCTTTTGGAAATTGGAAATTTGAGGATTGTGGAGGATTCGGGAGACTAGGGCCCCTCCCTAATAATTGGGCCTCCGGTAACCTCACTC